TATACATAATACTAATAGTTATAAGGCATTAAAAAAAATATCACTTGGATAACCTAAGTACTTACCAAGAAATGCGATATAGAAGATTTGGATAGTGTATATACATTTTCCACTTATTCTCAGATCTCATTAGCTGCGGTGTCATAGCTCGCACACGAGCGATGCCAGACTGTAAGGTCTAGCCCCATGACGAATTGTGATATTTAAATAAAATTTGCGTATTTCCAATCTGAATTCTAATTTGAGAACACTGTGAACATAAAATCTGGTGCTTTATATAGAGCCGTTTTTCTATCCAAAAGCATCAGTTGCAAACGGCACTTGTTCTGTCTACAAGCTTCAGTTGTTAAAGAAACTCTTAAAAATGATTCGTCTATTGGTAAGTGAATTGTTAGTACAGTAAACTGGCTGATTTCTATAATATTTGATTACCGACAGATCGTTATCCTGTCGCTGGTTCTGCTCATGGGCACTGCTCACGGCAGTCATCAATTCTGGGCGAAGCTGTTTGGACTAGCTCCACAGAACCCGAGCCCTGCGCCCGTTACCAATTGCCAGGGTTATCCCTATCCGTGCACCGATCCTTTGTGGGTAGGAGCCTAGGCGGGATCAACTATGTCTCCGGCACGTTGCCTTCTTGGCTAACCAACTGGTGTTGAGGTCAACAAAATGGATCGGTTTGGTTACAGTCTATATATACTATGTCCAGTTTCGGTCTATTCATGATTTTCAAATATAAATATTAGTAAATGCAGTAAATTCGACTTATTCTCCTGTTGGGCATAATATTATTTGAAGAAAGCATGTACTAAATGCACTTATGCTTTGCATATGAAAAGCATTTTTCTCTCAAGCTCTGACCAAGAAAATTTCTTAACTTTTTAATGGTAAATTTATGCAAAGTTCTAAGTTGCTAAATGCCACAGAAATTGGGCAGATTATGGCGTCCGTTGTGCCAAATGGACAAGGGGTTAGGCCTTACGAATTTTTTGCAATGTTAGACAACAAAATTGCTCCCCATGGACCACCTCAAACAACCCGCTGAATTCCCCCATGCTGAATCGCATTGATAAAACCCATCATATTCATTATGAGCACTGCGAATGGCCAACAACAATGCGTCTTTACTGAGAGAAAGGCTTTACTTGCCAGCTTGAATACCTAATGATGGTTTGAGCCCCTATTCCAACTCCATATCCCACGTTTCCTTTCCGACTACCCGTACCCGCTGCTGCTGCTGTTGCTGCTCCTGATAAGATGACACCAAATGTAAAAATTGACACATAAAATTTAAGTTGCCTGCCGGTCGCCATTTTACTTTGCCACAAACCGCCAACACGCGCCATCCTCATGCACATCCTTTCGTCGTGAAGCTCCCCACCCCCACCCCCATACTCTTTACTCACACTTTCTCTTTCTGGCTTCTTCCAGCAGCTTTGTTCACCCACTTCGTTAGCTATGTAAATGACTTTGTTTGTTTTCCATTGTTGTCCTCTTTGCCAAGTATTGCAGCTCTAAAAGATAATTCTGCTGACAAGCTGGCAACGCTGTTATCACACACACACACACATATATACGGCTCACGCATGTTGAGCGCTGCTCGCGTAGGCACAGATTTTTAACCCTTTTGGCCGAAACGTCACCCCAAATGGAAAGACTTCGCTGTTCCTTATTTACCTTCTGTATATAAACACACACACACTTACACAGAGGGGAAATTTCACGCACATCACGCATGAAAGTCGCGTTTACGTCCTGTACATAAGTCCTCATTCCATTTGCGTGTGCGTTTATATATACGTATCTATTTGTGTGTATGTGTGAGTGTGTGTGTGTGTGTGTGTGTTTGTGCGTATCCTTTCGCTTTTCGCCGCGTTACCTTCAGTTGTTTGTCTCTTAAGATTTCTCGTCACAGATATCTTATGAAAAATTGTTAAAATTTTTTGTTTCGAACAAACAAATTGCGCGTCATCTGGCGCGAACGAAATACTCATCCATATGCAGGACTCGAAATTCTTGGCCTGTTCGATAAGTTTAATTAATGCCTCAGTTATTTGTTATGCTCAGCATTTGGGTCTATGTTAATAATATGCGCTAATGATGTCAATAAATTTGTTAGAAATTTTTATAAGTAGTCTAGAATAGCAAAGGGGGAATGTGGAATGAAATGATTCCTAATTAAGTAGCTGTTGTGCTGTTTTCTATAAAAAAGGGTCTTTTTAAAAGTATTTGCTGTATAAAACATTTGAAATATAGAAAAAATGTACAATATATATAAAATCTGCTCAAATAATTTTAAAAATTATTTATGAGCTGATTTTTATTATATGCGCGAAATTTCTCAAATGTTTTCAGATATTTACACCCATGCCTAATTTCTTAAATATAGATTTTTAGTCTACAAACTCTCACCCAGTAATTAACGAAAATTTTTCATTTGTTCACCCACGTCTGGAATTGGGACTACCGATTGCCCAGTCCCATAGTTCCCCTAAGCGTACTGTAGAAATTTAAAAGAAATTATACCCCAAGGATAATGTCTCTGTCTATTCTCTGCACTCTGCACTGACTGCTGCTGTTTTGCTCCTGCTACGGCTGCTGTTCGGAGAAATTTTCTTTTATTTTTCTATATTCCGTTTTGATTAACATTCGTCGCCGGCGTCGGCGTCTCCAGCGACGACCATGTTTTTAATTACTTTTGGGGGTAGTTTCCAAATTTCCTTTCGCTTGCCAGACATGGCCCAAAAGAAAAAGAAAGCTCAACTTACTGAACTTTAAGCAATGAAATTCACTTAAATTGGTAAGTATGCACAATTTTTTTCTTCATCATATGTTTGCTATATAATTCTATATGCCGGCACACCTTTGACCCATTGACCACACCCTGACTTTCCCGAGGCTTCGCTAGGTCTTATTCAATTTCAACTTTGCCATCTATTTGGGTTGTGTAATCGAGAGAGATATAATAACAAAATCCTGCTTATGTGTGACTGTGTGTGTGTGTGACTGAGCTTGTGTGTGTATGTTGTGTATGCCCTGGGGCTTACTTTGGCACGGATCTAACCACTTGACCATGACACTTCAATTTCGTTTTTTCTAATACCCTGTACACGTTGAATAGAATGATATACAGTAGTTGAGAATAGGTGTGCATCAGGTGTGCATCATATCTAATTTCGGCTTACATCTTTTTGAGCTGGGTTTATATGAGCTCTAGAACATGGATTTCACAGTTTAAGAATATTTAAATGTCTATATATACTACTATTTACTTAATCTATACTCGATGCCATAATTAGTCAATGAAAACTTCATAGTAATCGGACAGTACATTCAGAATTAATTTAAGATTGAGGTTTTTATATATGTATATGTATTACTCGTTGCCTGGTAGAGGGTATTTTCTAGTCGGGCAATATCTATTTGACCACTATTGAATTTTTTTTGTTGACTGACCACACGAAACCGGAAATAACATAATTGACCTCAGGGAACAGAAAAAAAGGTATCATTGCAAATCGCATCAAGTGACCGAAGCAGAGCGGACCTTAAGTGATTTGTATCTGTTGCGCTGGGAAACGCTGACAACGAGGGTCGGGACGGAACTAGCCGTTGGTCAGTAGCAGCCCCTACCCTCCCCTTTCCTGTACTTAACTCCCTTGTTTGTGTTTGTTTGCCTGTCTATCTGTCCCTTCGGCTGGTCAGTTGGGTCAGTTGGTCGACTCGTGTCGCGTGTGTTGTGTGTGTGTAAACAAATCAATTACAGACGCTAAATGCACTTTATTTGTGCGCACTCGAAATTTGAATTTTAAATTAGTCGCCCGTCGGGGTTTTTATGGTCAGCTTTGTTCACACCTCTTGCCGTATACACATAGCTCATGTCCGAAGGGGTCAATGTGTTTAATGGCAACTTAAGTGGCCTTTAAATAGCTTAATGGCCAATGACCAATGCGAGGCTTAACAACATAATTGACGCCTTTGTGCGATATGCGGCAAATCGATGGGGAAGTTAGAATAGAGATGGGATAATAAAAGATATGGGATGTTATTGTGAATGGGATTTATGGTTTTTTAGTTATCCGAAATTAGAAAATAATTGGGTATAAATTGAAAAAGGCAAAAGGATCATAAGGTATTCAAGATTGATTGCAAATTTAATGTTCAAGCTCTAGAAAAAACCTCATGTTTAACATCAAGCAAAAAAACTATGCCACTTAACTTAAAACTTTAGCTAATTATAAAGTTACTTAGCATCGCATTCCCATTTCTATTATTTTCCCAAGCTTCTTAAACATCTCTCACACCGCATTCAAATACTGTTGCCCACAAGAGCTTAACATACATTGCACATGCACAATCCCGTTTTCATATCCTTTTACATTTGCATGACACCTGCCCATCCCCCTGGCCAACGAACACGGCACTTGCACTTGAATGCAGTCTCAAATTGAGGCCTCAAGTGCGAAATAATACTTTGCCAGCGGTTCGTGGGCTCTCGTCCTGTGCTTGCTCCTGTGTGGATTGCATCCTCTCCGGGCGCCTGGCAAATGCCCTAAATAGTCCTTTATTACAGTCAACTGCGAGTCAAGCGAAGTGCAGCAGCCGCAGCTCGACGTGATTCTGCATATGGCAAAAAGGACACGCTCCCCTTCTCCATATGACTGCAGTTGCACATGCAGTGCAACCCGGTTGCATTATCCTTTAGAATTTGAATGCGCTTTATGTTTTATTTTGCACTTGAATGCGCGCCACGACAAGGGGCAGGGACAGAGGCAGACGCAACAGGATGTGGATGCGCTGGCTGCACATGCTTAGGCTACCGGGTAGGCAGGAGGAGGCGTGCGGAAGACTCGTTCGCCTTTGAACATCACACGTCGCACCTTTTGCAGTTTTCACACTTGGCAGCGGCGCATCAGGTGGCCACTTGGTTTGGGGGCTTTGCTTTCGAGTGATTAGGCGGCCAAGTGCCGCAGGATAAAAGGACAGGCCACAAAGCGTTTCAGATGCTTTAATAAATTAACAATGCGAGCTTTATGATAATAAATAGCAGGGTGTAGGAGGTAGGATAGGGAAAGGATAGGATGCAAGAAATGGGATGCAGGATTAAGGATGAGGATAAGGTTGCGCTTGTGATAATAAATATTTAGGAGGGGTAAAGGATATGGGATACGGTAAATGTAAATAGGGGATGGCATACTGGATGTTGTAAGTAGTTTTAGGTTAGCGATTGGGGATTAAGGTGCAGGAAGGATTGTGTGATTATAAATAGAAGAAGACGAACTGAAAGAAGTTGCGGATAGGTAGTAGATAGTATGTTATAGGATGGGGATAAGTTAGCAGGGAATAGAGATTGTTTGTTTTTATGCCAGATCAACCAAATAACTTTTCGGCAAAGCCGCGCACAACATTCTCGTCATAGTCCTCGATCTCGTCGTCTGCATCATCTATGTCCACATCATTCGGCCTCACCGGGTAACCCTGTTCGGGGGGAACGATCTTAACGCCATGGTCACCAAACAACAGGCAATCAAAGTTTCTAAGAAGAGATTAATGCAAATGTAATTGAATGAGGAATTAGTTTTTTTTTATGGTGGCCTACCGTTCAAAGAGCTCAAAGCCCTGGAATTCGCCGGACATGTACATGCAGACATGCATATTACGGCCAACAAACCATATATCATGGAACTGAATGCAGGCGCGGGCAAAATTGAAGCGCGGTGGCCTAAAGCAGAAGGGTGGCGGATTCTGGCCGGATACCTTGCGGCGGAACCAAATATTGTTGTTGACGCGCATGCGCAGCTCAAAGGAGAACTCATCGGGCCGATAGGCGACCTCTGTGCAGCTGTTCATGCCAACCACGGCGAGAAAGCCTACAAAGAAACATTATTAGGCAATTGACCATATAGAAAGTCGATCCCAAGGCGACAACATACCTGCACAGCACTTACACAAGCCCGTGTCGCAATTACAGGGTATGCGGCTAACCAGAGAATTGAGTGTTAAGTTTGTGAGACCCAATTGTCTAGACTCCTCCTCGTGCGCCAGCTGGTTAAGGCGATACGTCAGTATGCCCAACTGCAGGGCGGCATCGTAGGCCAAGTCCTCAGCAGGTGGCTGCAGCGGCACTGTGAGTGTATTGTGAATGGCATTCAAGGATTATGAGAGGATGAGTGAAGGCGTAAATGTGATGGGCCATGAGCATATATGTACAGGGAAATCAATTTAGATGAAGAGCAATATAAATATACAACTATGTACAGCTAGCATGTATTACGCGGCTTCACCCGGCCAACAGTCTTATATACACAAATGGCAAACAAATACAATTTACCAGTAGAGGCAACTCGGAAATAATTAAATATCATCTGTTCGCCGAGCCCTTGTTCCCAATTTAGTAAACTTCTTAAAGATATTTGACCAAAAGTAGCTCAAGTTCTCCGCAAAAAAAAAGGCAAGATGCTGCGCAGAAACAACATTTTCAATAATAAACACGAAAAATAAATGTAAATATATTTTTGGCTTAATCATCTTGGGCGAACTTCCGCATCTTAAACAGTTCCGCTTCAAAGCCACTGACGTAGCCGGCACTCGTTAGTCCAAACAATATTCGGCGTCTAACAGTTTCAACTATTAACCTTGACTGGCAGCTGAGCGGATCCGATGAGATTATTTGCGACTATTTTTGATGTCAATGAGAGCCAGCCAGCGGGCACAGTCACAGTGGAGCGTATCGAAACGAAGCGCTGTCTTCGTGGTCAAGATCATGGACACGCGAGTCGGAGAGACTGCGAGAGAGACTGTTGCAAAAAAAAAACTGGTATTGCTTATGAGCACGCTCTCCGAGTGCTTCCGCGCTCTACCCAATATTTTATACTAACTTATTGGGCTGCGACTCAAGAATGCTTCACAGATCATGTCAAAATTGTGCCTTTAAAGCGAGCAATGTGCTAATTAGTTGAAACCACCAAAATATAAATAGCAACCTTCAAGTACGTCGAGAACGTGGACGGGCGATTAATATTGGTCTGTGAACGTCCCCTATATGGTTAATGTTCGGCATTCGCTTTTGTTTTTATCGGGCCTTACGAGCGGTAAATGCAGTTACTTGTCTATTGGCATTGGAAAGACGTCACGTCTCATACTGTAACTTGTTATGGCCCTTTGAGTTCCACTCGGTTGTATATTGTATAATATTTAATTGGCGCCGTGCGGTTTTATATGCCGTTTGGCATTCAAAGCTCCGATCTTAGATTGGATTTAATGAAAATAGAAATAATAGAATTGCCGGTTTTATGTTTTTTGGTCAGGGTAATATGAATATAACAAGGTTAGATTAGTTAGAAAATTAATTTCGTAATAAACCTAAGCAATTCCATAGGTGGGGCTTATAGACTTAAATGCAGGATTAACTTAGAGACTATTCCTTTGAAACGACAACTTCTCCATCAAAATACACATTTGTAAATATTTACATTAATACTTAAAAAATATAAGGTATACTGTAAAATAAAACACCATCACATATCAAGTATACTTTACATGTTTTATTACTCAATTATATCAGAGTGCCTCACATAAGTTATCACATAGGTACGCCAGCAGGTACGTGTAAATTAAAACTAACTATACTATTCCCAATTAGCCGATCACATTTGAATAGCAGTCTTCTTTACAGCTAGAGTTACGATATATGCACATTTATAAACTATATACATGATATTTACAAATTCGTTAGGTTCGTAGTCTGAACTGGCCGTAAGTTTTATGTGAGCCAGACATGAACAAAGCGATAAAAAATGGGCATTGCAAATGGATTGATAAAGTTAACAACCAGATAATAGAAATACGACATAAAATAGGAGTTCTTTGTACTACCGGTATCCGATTTCGAGACGGCCAAGAGAGAAGCGACGCACCACAGGTAGAAGAACAGGCGCGAATGAGAACTGGCCGCTGGCATATTCAAGCTTTTCGTTGAGGAACTCTTGAAGGTTGTTTCGGTTGTTGTTATTGTTGTTGTTTTTTGTCTTGATTATGCACGCTTTGTTTGTATTTCGAGTTGTTTGTTCAGTTTTTAGGCATATATACATATGCATATATGATGTGTACATAAAACTCCACTTTTTGCACGCAACTTTCGTTTTCACAATACAAAATTCACCAAGCCAAGCCCCAAAGAGTCTCTCGGTGCGTGTAGCTCAGTTTAATTCACTTTTAGTTTCTAAGTATATAGCTGAAAACTCTCGCACATGCTTCAGTTGCGTCTAACTCGGCTCGGGTTCACACTTGAGGCGGCTACAGCTCCAGCTCCGTACGTGCTAATGGCTAAAATACAACTGGCCAAGAAAACGGTAGCGCATGCGCATGCTAAGTGCCAGCAGCGGACCAACGCCACAGTCAAAGTTAACGACAGACCCCCGCGGGTATCGAGGGGGGCTGCCTCTATGGATTGACAGTTTTATGTACGTCTGAATTGGTTTTAGCTGTTTTTTCTTCTTTTTTTTTTCTTAAGCGTGCGCTCTCAAAACCAGTATTTTTATTGTTTTTGTTTTTAGTTTTGGGATATCTTTTAAGTTGAGCGTCCCTCGTTTTGGGTCTCGATCTCTGTTATAATTTCTCTCGCGAGTCATCATCGGCACGTTGGACTCTCACTTTTCACTCCGTTTGTTGAAGTTTTATAAAATATTTTTAATTAACTTGTCACCTTAAATGGTTTTGCACCTTGCGGCATCTTCAGAGTAGCAGCCCCTACCCTCCTGGGCCCCTCCGTTCATTCATCATGAGTCGCATCAATTGTGCTTTTGTTTATATGGCAGCTTATACCGTTTCGACTTTTTTCCGTTTTACAGTTAAACAATTTGTTTATTTGCTTTGGAATTCTATTTGTAGTTTTAATATTGCTGTTGTTGTTGGTAATTTTGCATTAATTTCAACTGGTTCTACGGCTCTATAAATTGCTGAACTCTGTGCGTTGAAAGTTGTTTTAGATGCCGGTGAAATTCAAGTGAGATTTTGTTGTTTGTGTCTTTACTCAAGCAAAGGCCCAATACTGAGAAATGGGAGATCTCTGTACATAAAACTCTTTGTCCTGACCTACTGACTGACTCTAGATCGACGCACAAGCGTAGGCTAAATGAGCTGCAGGTTGGCGGTTCGAATCCAGAAGCAACATTTAATATTTATAAATATAGAAGATAAAAATCAATAATAATTAACTTGAACAGTTTCTTTAATTATTCTTTAAAACAATTATTATACTTAACAAAATACAACTTTTGCAGCAATAAGAGCAATTTCTATGCCTCGGGTGCTTTTGGGAAACCTGATTTGTTCTCTGTTCTACATTCATTAAAACTGTCCAGTCATTGACTGAGTGTGTAAATATTGATTTGATTCATTTGCGCATTCAAAACAGGTTTTGTGAATGATTCGTCAAATGCAAAGCATTAATTAAGTTTGTTCTCTTTGGCAACAAAGATCGCAGTATCTTGTTTATATGTCAACAAGCCCATCAATATATAAACATAACATTAACCAGGATGTCGGTTGTGCCAGCGACTGAGATACTCAGTAAAAATAAAGTAAGTGATAAGATAAGATTATGTTAAGGAACATATAATTTGTATAAATATTTTTCATATGAGTCAAGATTAAACGTATTCGATATATGGGACTTAATATAGCTTTCTTAAAAGAACTTCTAAAAGATTTAAGGTAGTCGACTGTGAGAATTTTCTATTTATTATTTATAAAAAATTAATAATCAATGCTTTCGTATCTTAAAATTCGAAATTCGAAATTATATAAGTAAGAGGCCGATAAATATATATATAAATATATTCTATTTATCTGCAGCGCTGTGACCTCTAGTCGTATTAATATTGACCCAACGCGGAATAACAGTATACAACAGTTATGCATAAATTATTAGTGTATATATGGAGTAGCTAAATGTTGTTAATTATGCAATATTTGATGGGTTTCTATATATATTTCTGTTTTTATTTTGCATTGATTTATCGCTTTGTTGACATTGACTTTGTGTGGCGTTTGCCAACAGAATATTAAATGATTTTATATATTTATTTGTCTTTGACATTTGCCACAAGCGGAAATGCATATATATAAGTATATAGACATATATATGTAAAGCGCAGAAATCGAAAAGTATCCAAAGTATCCAACTAAGTAAGCCCGATTGCCAGTAAACGGATCGAACGACCAACTGACCAACTTGAAGTATGAGGTTCGAACTCCGCCTGCGCCACACGATTGTGTGGCAAGCGCCATCTATTGGCCGCTTAACGAGCTGTTGTTGCTGTTGTTGTTTTTGCTGTGGCATATGATTATCCATTTGTTGCTGTTGTTGTTTTTTCCTAAGCTTCGATTGATTTGTGATGCCAAACTGCTGACCAACTGACCCCCCACCCTCTCTCTATCAATCTCACCCTTTCTAAGCACCCAACATCAGCTTCGAACATGACATTAGAAATTATTTTGGGACTGCTGCTGGTTGTTGCTTGTTGTTGTTGCGAAAAACTTGCACGTAAATCATGTGAAATCAATTTCTCTTGCACAATTTTCCACTTTTGGCAAATATGACGAAAAACCAAAGCCCAGAGACCAGATACCAGGTCTCAGAGTGAAAAGTCGTGAGTAAACATTTGGTTAGACCGATCCTCGGCAGGCTCTCAGCCGTGTTGTTGTTGTTGTTGCTGTTGCTGTTGTTGTCAGTTGTTGGTAGCATCTTGCGGTCTAATAATAGCATGTTAACTCATAACATGCTATCAATCACTCCAAAATTTGTATCTGCGGTGGGTTCGAGCCTCAAACTCCTCGTTGTGTGGAGGCTGCTGACCATAATTCGCATGTGAAAATTGGAAAATTGTTTAAGCAAGTTGTTGCTGTTGCAGTTGCTGCTGCTGGTCAGCTTAGATGGAGTTATTGTTGCATGCATGCTCCAAAAATAATCAGCATGTGTGTGTGTGTGTGTGTATGCGCGCGCGCCTGGGATTTGCGATTCGAGCATGATTTGTGGGCTTTTTATGGCGCCAGCTGTCTGAGTGTATCAAATTTTCTATAATTATTATGCATGTGAGCCAGATCAATGATCGTACGCTTAGAAAGTTTGGCAATCACTCAGGATTAGCTGAGTTAGCAACAGCTGTACATGGACTTGAATTGTTAACATGCCACAAACCAAAAGAGCGTAGCGCAAGTTTATGCTATAAATTGAAATCTGAATATTTATTTATTTATAGTTGAACAGAGTAGTAATGTTAATGGAATGTTGAACAGCTGTTAGGAAAGAGGTGAGGCAGCGGTGAGGCATTTTGTTTACAGCATTTATTTAAAGATTGCTGTTACTAATAAATCTGCTTTCTCTTTGATGATGTTCCCCAGTTGATGATGAATAAGAACATAAAAATATTCAATTAAACATATTAATTGATTAACATAAGTTCTCGATGAACTCTAACTTACATTCTGATTTTATGTTAAGCAACTGTTAACCGTTTTATGTTCCTCCTTTAAGGTGCTCATTAAAATCGTTTGAAGGCTTTAAATTTCAATGTACCATCCCAAATAACGCTCTTGATTTTCTAGGTGCCAGCTTAAGACTCCTTCCCTGCCCCTGCTGCTCTCCCCACAGTTTCTGGCGTGCACTCAGCTTTCAGCCAGACCGAAACAAAGCAAATCGAAAAAGTATTAATTCAAAGCACCCTTTTTTCTTGCCGGCATACAGTTCTTTACTTTTGGGGAAATGCATTTTGTGTTTTATTCTATTTTCATGCACTTGGCATCGCGTTGTCTTTGCCTTTTTCCGTGCTTGAGGATTTTCTTTTGGCTTGCCTTTTTATGTGCCTTTAAGTATGCAACGAGTAGACTATAGAAAATTTTTATACAATTTTGTTGTTCATTTGTTTTACGTAGCCCGCCTCAAATGAAATGCCAAATGTAAAATGTAAAATGTGAAATGTGAAATGTAAAATACAAAATGAAAAGAAAACATAAATCTTTTTGTCTGCCAACATTTCCAGAGGCGGCTGGCGTTAAGAGGGGGCGGCTGCCAGCATTGTGAGTGGCTTTTTCTTTAGTTTTTTTCTTCATGATATTTTTCCACACACCTCACGTACGGCGCACGCCCCCGCCCCCTCGCTCTTATGCAGGTGGTAATGCAAGATGCCAGCTGCCCTGTCCCGTGTTCGGGGAATTTCAGTGCATAGAGGATACTTTTTGGTTGCTTTTTATGGAGCAGGTTTTCCATATTTATTTTTTTTTTTGGCATTGCTTTGTTGTGTTAATTAAGCAAAAATGTTGTTATTACAAACGTAAGAACTGAACAGAGAGCCTCTCCACTGGGATATACTACAAACGAGTCGAGTTTTGTTGGCATATTATTTTGCGTAGTTCCCATGCCTGAATATCAATATACCAGGCTTGATGTTATGTTAACAGACAGCGCTTCCAAATTTTAAATATATTTTAATCGCACTGAGTTGAATATTTTTAATATATAATTAAAAGAACTTTTATTAAAGTATTTTATAAAGTTTCTTAATTAGTTTTTAAGCGACTTTCTCTTACGATTTTAGAGAATTATCTTTCCTGGATATTATCCTGCACATATCTTACTCCGCCCAACACAGCTGCCTTCAAAAGCTCTCAGTATCAAACGTTTGTGTGTTATAATTAACCCTTCATGCAACAGCAACATGCCTCAAGAGTGCATCCAACCCAAAAAGCCGGCCACTTCAGTGCATAAACCCCAAAAAAATATAGCTTCAGGAACAATTAGTTTCTTCTATTTTCTTTTTTGGGCTTTGCCGAAGAACAAATGAAAGAATTGCAACATGCAACATGCCACATGCCACATGCCACATGCCACATATTCTCCAAGGACACTTGACTTTCGGTGCGCCTTGCTTTTGGAGCATGGTGAGCGTGGTGGAAAGGCGGAACAGGGGCGAGTCTTGCGGGTCTTGAGCTGGCCCTCGTTTTGGCTGTGTTGACAGCTTTCTTGTTGCACTTTTCTAAGGGGTTTTGGGTGGGATCAGGGGCAGCCTGGCAACTGTCATGGCCTTTTTTATGCCGCTGCCAATTAATTAAGCAAAATAAAAGCCAACAACGTTAGCTGCCGAAGCATTGCTTCATTAGCACTAGCAGCAGGGCGGGGGGCTGAGCTAAAGTAAGAGAGTGGAAGGTAGGCAGCGGGCGTTTGGATGCTGCTCGTCTAATTCAATTTGGCCGCATGCAATTTGTTGCCTT